TTGGATTCGACTCATACTCCGCCACGAGGCGCCAACTCAGCTCAGAACAATCAACCAGTTGAATAAACTTTTGCCTCCGTTTTATAAGGTCTTTTGCTAAATGAAAATAAAGCATTTCAATTATACTGTAAATAAATCTTTGCAGATATTTTAAACATGTATTCTATACACATTTACATTTACTGTTACACCGAGCCCATACTATGTTTACATAGTGCATACCTTAGACTACACTGATCAGGCCACGCAAATTAATAAAATTTGTTATGAACGAAAAGAAAAATTTAAGTTCTATAACTGAAACTCGTGCCCTATCGATATCTTGTGAAGACAAAGATGTGCAAATATCTTCTAATTAAGCCATTACCTTAGCATTATGCCTGTATTGCTCGTCATTATTCTTTCTTTAAGTTTTGTTCTTTTCTTGAATATCAGAACCAGAAGGAATTGGAACACTTATCTTATTTATCATGCACTCAATATTTTTCAACAGCTGCTCATTATTCTCTTTCAATGCAATGCTGAGTGCACCTTGCCTCAATAATCCCCTCCATTCCATCCATCCTGTCATCGTCAGACATTTTCAAAATAAAGCCTAATAAAATTTATGCCTTGAAAGGACAGAAGTCAAGACTAGAATGAAAATTCCGCTCTATTTTACCGCCAAATGCAACCTAATACCACGTGACCGTTATGCACAGATGACTCGCGCATTTGTTATTCCCGCCATCTTAAGACATATGTTCTGTACTATACTATGTAACGTACAGAACTTTCAATTCAATGACATCACAAACTAAAGACTGTGGTAATAAGTATATAGCTATAAATAGATAAATAAATAAATATAAATAAATAATTCTAACACTCCTCGTGATTTTGTCACTATAGACAAAGAAGAAAAAAAACCGGTGTTAAACTGCCAATTAACACTGGTTAGGGACTACTTGTATATGCGGCTGTTATCTTTTCTTCCTTACAAAGCCTTTTAACGCAAAAATAGAAAACATTTTTTATTAATATTTCCAGTATTTTCAATGTTTTCTTTTCATACAATACCGAAATAATATCTCACATACACTAACGACACAGATTTGATCCATATCAGTTAATAAATATCCGTTAGCAGCGTAATGACGTCATCATAAGTATACAACTCATTCATAAACGTTGACGTCATTTCAAACATACAAGAATGTCGTTTTGATGCGAAACAATTAACCAATCAGGCCTACGGCCTTCGTGGTCAATTCCTACGCATCAAAACTCCAAACCGGTGTTAAATAGCCGTTAAACACCGCTAAGACCGATATTATTTCTTAAATAATTAAATATATAAATAAATAAATAAATAAATAAATAAATAAATAAATAAATAAATAATTAATATTCTTATAATTTAAATAAATATAAATTAATTTTTAAATGTTTAACAAATATTATGTTGAAATATTTTTGACCCATACCAATTTTTTTGAAGAACGTTAAATGGTTCAATAAGAAGCTGGTAAAGGACATGACTTTTCAATACATGCGATTAAATAATCAAGCTTACTAAGAACCAAAACGTGTAAAAAATTAAGAGTTCGTTATAAACAAAAGAACAAAATAAGTTTCAAATGCTGTTATAAAGTGATCGTGTCATTCACAGGATTCTAGTTGTATGTTAGTTACAGGAAATACAATATTACAGCTGCACAAGAAAAAGTCATACGTCAATACAGAAAATTGTATATCAGTTGCAATATATGCACACAGAAAGTAATGAATGGAATTATTTACGACAGAAAAAACAAAACAGTAAAACAAAGTGAAGAGTTTGATCTTTAAAGGATGAGGATGCTTGGAAATCCCAATTATAATCGAAAATATAAAGAAAGGCGTGTTAGGTTGGGTTTCATTACAAAAAGAAAAAAAGAATAAAATTGTAAACTGTTAATCAGAAAACGCCAAAACGGGCAACACAAATGAAAGTGAACTAAGTTATGTTTTATCATACGATGAAGAGATTGTGAGAAAAGATCATTGTGCTATAATATCTTTTTTTCTACAATCAATATTTTGTCAGTTTCAAATACTGAACTAAGTATTATTATTATTTAAATAATATTTCACCGATAGCTGATAATCAATTTTATCTGGTTTAGCATTTGGACAATATATCAGTGTCGGAAAATATGTCTGACTCAGTAATAAAACCTTTTTTCAAATACTTTAAGATTCAAATTCATAAAAGGTTAAATATATGCGCTAAAAATGAATTTCAGTGAAAAGAGTATTTAACTTATAAGGTCGAGCAGGTGAAACAAGAAGAAATAAAAGAAAGTTATAAGAGAAGGAAGTCAGCTTATTTCAAGGCTGTATTTAATCTGTTATTTGACTTCTATGACTAGAATGTATGCCAGTTGAGAGGTCAAGGTAACAAAATAGTAAAGAAATACTTTATATTTTGAAACAACAATCATAGTCTCCAATACAATTTGAAATAGATTATATCGGTTTAATATTTAACAGGTTTCTGATGTGGATGTTTAAAGCCGGGGGATCAGGGGCAAAATTGTAAATGTTACAGGCTCGTGAAATTAAGTCTGTTAATGGATGGTTATGTTAAGTTAGTTTTTATTTATTTGACAATGATGATTTATTTAATCATAAAGGCTCTAAAGTTTGAGTCGTGCTTATTTCATTTATAGATGCAGATCGATCGTAAATCTAAGGTAATTTGAAGAATTTCGAATTATGTTACAATTGATCGCCTGATCGGGTCTATGTAATCTGAATCTTAAATTGTGTAAGCAGGTGACTGCAGTTCATTCATAACCGTCTTAAAACGGAGTACTGCATATATCGTTTACACTTGCGCTCACACATTGTCTGATATCTTTTAATCATTAATAACAGTAGAAGATAGCCACTTTAATTATATTAGACGACTCCCGTGATAGCGGAACCAACACAAGCAAATGTGGGTTATTCTGCATGTAATATGATATTATAGTTCACAAAATATTAAGAAGCATTTAGTAAACATTGTCGATGGAATTGCAATTTTTTAAAGCTCCTACCCACTTGAATAAAAAACCAAATGTTCGTCACTGAATATCGGAAAGGACTTTGGAATAACTTCCAAATAACGGGAAGGGGCAAATTTCCAACGTTGAAAACTGATACAAAAATCTGTTGAAAAATGACCTCTGTTGAAAAAATGATCCATGGGATAAATCTTCAACGGTGTCAAAATTAAATGTTACACCGGTTTCGATATATTGTGTTATTGATAAAGCATTTCATGATGTTTTCCTATTACTATTAACAAAAATGACTACTTTTAGTGAAATTATAAAAATCGTGCGCTTGGGTAAAACGGATTTAGTTATAGTTTATTTGTAAAAGCAAGCTAAAGGCAAATAACGCATCAAAATATTTTGGCAATACCATGTTTCTCTTAATATGGAAAATTGATAATTGTCACAACATAATTTTATTGTAAAATGTAGTACAGCTGCATATTTGTAATGTTTTATAACTTCCTATAAAACTGTAGTCTATAATATGTAACAATTTCCTGTCTATTTAGTACACACATTGCTTTGAGATCAGGATGAAATGGTTAACAAATTTTAAAATTCTTACTTAAAATTTCTTCTTTGCTAGAGATATCTTGAAAATAGTGTTGACGTGATACTCAACGAAGATTTATCTTTACCTATATGACAATCAAAGAAAGACAAGATAAGTTCAAGCTATTATCTCAATTATTTGGCCTCAGGACTTTACACATACTTTTTATATTTTTTAAAAGAGAGTTTAATGACAACGTTGATCATATGCTATTGAGATATCTTTATCACTTTGTTATTAAATAAGATAACACATGCTAATTCTTTGTTCTCATGCGCTGGTTATATATTCAATATTTCAATATTTAAGGATTTATCGTTGTGAGAAATTAATCCTTGAGTACGTATGGCTTATTTTTCAAAAAGACAAATCAGATGTAGCAATCAAATTAAGCTGTTTGTCGATTTTGGAATCGATGACCTAAATCTATAACGTACATGTCATATTTTATCTTCCTTGCTAGATGTACTTGGTCACTATCAAATAAGTCAACCGAGTTAAAGGTAAGACAGATTTTTTTCTCGAAACAGTTACATAAAGTTAAACTACGATAGTTAATTATAACAGTTTACAATTCATGCTTTTCGACATTGTATAACGAGTGTTTTGGAGAATGTTTATCTTTCATAAAATAACAGACTGTTATAATGATGCATGTCTTTAAAAAAAACAACAAATTCTAACTTTTTTTGAGACATTTACTTTTGAAATAAATGACTGTGTGCTCATACGAAATAAATTGTGAGTCTAGAAATTGGTGGTAATATTACATATACTCGTATATAAAGTGTCTTCAAACAACTGATGATGTCTTTAAGAATTATGTGTTTGTATTAAACACATTTCAGTGTTCTTTTTATACATATGTATTACAGTAACTTGAAATATAACTAATTCAAAAATAGCAAAAGGGTTGAACCGCGAGTTCTAACGTGTCGTACCTGAAATATAGAAGGATTTAAATCTTATTATAAGAAGATTACAAATTTAACTTGAATAATAGTGAACCAGTATGTGAAAAAGTAATTTGGGAGAACAAGAAAAGAAAAGGAACATTCGAGTTGTTTTTAAATATCAATTTGACAGGACAAATAGTATTTATACATAGATGTTTGTATATAAAACAACAATGAAAAGATAATTATCTTTTTTTTTCAAAATTACAGGAATTTTCAATCTGGTAAAATAAAAGAGTTGTCCGGATGTGAGACAGATTCTTTTCCTACTTTGTTACGTTACGGCCTATCTTGTACATGATTTATATAAAGATTAGTATTAAGATTAGTATATTCGTTCCTTATACGTGCATGGCAAACAGATAAACTGTGATCTCCTATATTTATTTTAACAGCTTGAGGAATTGGCTTGAACGTGTTTCAATGTGCTTACAGCTTACTTCATACTGAAACTAAAACAAATTCAGTTTCAGTTAACTTCGAAATATTTAATAACGTGAACAAATGTTCCGTTACAATAAAGAGAAGATATATTTATGAACATGTACTTTATATGAACAATTGCAGGTGACATCGAGAACTTACATAAAGTTATAAATGTAAAACAAATAACATGATACCAAATGTAAAAGATATATTGACATTATTGAAAATGTACATAAAGACTTCCTCCGAAAAAAGAAAAAAAAGAATGCACATATTCATATTCTATACGGGAAACCCAAGAGAAATAATTATTAAATCGAGAATTCTCAAATGTTGGAGCAAATTATTTTCAGAAAACAAAACAAAATATCTAATAAGTGTTACGGTGATAGGTGAAACTCCAAAACAAGTAACAAATGGTTGAACTTGATTGCAAAATAAAAGTATTTGTTGTTGTTGTTGTTGTAGCTGTTGTAGAGAATAATGGAGCTTTTTCTTAAATAAAATGACGATTTGAGTCTTATTTTTCCAGTTCAAGAATTGATTCTACTGTACAGACAATACGTCATGGCTTCAGGGGGCTCAGAGGTAATTATTGATAAGTTGTAATATAACAATAAAGTTGTAATTATACAATTATTTGAATATTCCACCATATACGAATACGCATTTTAATTAAGAAATTAAAAGGTGCGTTTCATTTGTTAGCATACTAATGGTTGTCACTAATTTCAGGATTCAGGTTTCTTGAAAATAACGGGAAAGAATGTATCAAACAATCAAAAGAAGAAGTCCAAAATCCAAAAGGTAAACAAAACCACAGATAAATCTTCAAATGAAAATGAAAGTTTACAGCAGGAAATAGAGCAGATTTTCGAAATGTTTTACAGTCATAAAATTGAAATTGACGACCGCCAGAATTTAAAAGAAAAAACTTTAAAACTCCTATCTCTTCAATCAAATGTAATTGAACGTTTAGGGAAGGAAATACAAGAACTCAGCACGAGAATAAAGACACTAGAAGAAAGGGAACAAGAGTTGAAAAAACAGTTAATAAAGGCTGGAAAACGTGGTAAAGATAGGTCTGAGTATGATCAGACAGAAATTGGAACACTTAGGGAACAGATAGATGAATTAAAAAATACAATAGCTGCAAAGGATGAGGAAATACAAAAAGCTAAAGAAACAAAATTGAATCTGTCGGTTGGAATTGAAAAGCTAACGAAAGAAATGGCAAATATGAAAGATGATATAACTAAAAAGCACGAAGAAAATATGAGAGACATGAAAAATGATTTAACAAAAAAGCATGAAGAAGATATGACATTAATGAAAAATGATATAACTAAAAATCATGAAGAAGCTATGACAATAATGAAAAATGATATAACTAAAAAGCATGAAGAAGACATGGACGCCATGACAAGAGAACATGCGAAACAGCACGAAGAACAGCTTGAACAGGGTAAACGTATAGAAAGCATGTTAAGTGAAATGGCAAAGGAGCAGTCTAAAAAAGACCAAGGCCAGGACCAAAGTATAAGTAGTCAACAAAATAAACCAAAATCCAGATCATCAATGCAAAATCGACCCTCAAAATCTGGACCGAAACCTACATGGAGCAGCAATTTTAAAAAAAGCAATTAATCTGATTTGGCATTGAAGTTATTGTTTTATCTTCATTTACGTTCATTTACAAATATCATTACATGTTGTTGTATTACTTGTTATATCACTCTTTGTTATGAGAACTAGTTTAGCTTATGCTACTTATGGAATCATTTTGTATTAAGCCTATCTTACTCTACTGTAAGATTGTAAGTTCATAACATACTTTATGCATTTGTTATATTTAGTTAATTAAGTTTGTTCCTCAAAATAGTTTTCGATTATTGTTGTTTGATAAGCATGTGTTTGCCATTGAAATTTAAATACTTGCATTCTGCACACAATTTCGGTTGACATTTCAAAGCAGTTATAATCTTTTTAGCTCGTGCATATGCGTTATTATAATACATGCATATAATGATTGTCAATGGAAATTAAACGTAAAACTGTTGTTATTATTTTTATTTATATCATTTTCTCATGGTGTCTCTCAGAAAGAGTGGAAAAACAATACATATTCTGAAGCTACAATCAAGTTTTAAATTGATTAATTTTGTATATCTGGTATAGTTTGATCAATTAATGGCAGTATGTATAACATGCCCAACTACGAAGCAACAAACAAGATAAAAGCTTAGAATGAAAGGTACATGAATGCCAAAGCATAACCTAGGGTAACACATTACAAGTACAGCTATATGCCGATATGTCATATTAATTTGGTTTCTTGTGAATTTCTGAAGTACTGCGAGCAAATTTTGATTTTTTTACTGTAAGTAAAATTAGAAATGTTTCGCATATTTGCATTTTCTTTAAAATTGTTTGTTTTTAACTAAAACGTGAATATTCAAGAAAGTAAATGCAGTGAGTTTTTGACCCAACAGTGCAGGGGAACTATGGATTACATTAATTGTTAATAGAAGAGAGAGATGTATGGCTAGGTCATCATTGCCTGTTAATATGAGAACAGAGATCAACAAAGTCTAACGGTTAAGGCTAATTTTGACAAGACATAACTTATTTATACTGTCAGACAGGAGACGTAAACAATGTCTGCAAAACTATAGAATAACATTTAAAAAATACAAGTACACCCATACTTATCTCGTGCTTAGTGCTTAATTTTGATATTGTAAGTATTTTCACAAAAAATTCTATAAATGAAATTAAACTATGTCTACAGCGCAGAAATCTGCATGTACATGAAAAAGCATAAACATGAGAAAATTGAGCTTTTACTGCCTTTTAACATGTTTAAAAGTGCAAGGATACAAAAATACAAAATTTGCAATATAGTTTATGATCCTGTATGTTAAAATAAAGGATGTAACATACAGTTAAACAAAATAAGATAAACTTTTATCGGTTTCATTCCAACAAATCTTTTAAACATTCCAAAACTTGATATATTTCCACAGAAAGGTTTTATATATGTTATACATATGTTTTGAAATTATTACATATATTTTCATTGAAAATATCAACAAGACGTTATCAGAAAGATATTTCTTATTACATCTCTTTATTTACATGAGCTGTTATACACGGTCATATCTTTATAAGAACTTGATATAATATCAATAAATCTTCATCTGAGCATAGAGTTTATCATACAACGTCATCAATTTTTTTTAGGTACGAATTACCTGGCAACATTTCTTGTCGATTTAACTCATTTTGTTTTTACTAAACCGAAGTAAAAAATGCATTGGTAGATTATGTGTATAGTATAATATACATGTATAGTATATTGTACAGTTTAGATGTAGTATAATATGGTATGGTTTGATGTGGTATGGGTATAGGTTTGGGTATAAGTGCAGAACAGTACAGTTGAGTATGTATTTTGCATAAAAACTACCAACAGTGTTGTTATTGTTGTTTATTTTACACATGTGATATCACATTTATTCAAACGTAATTTAAGAAAAACCGGAGCACGTGTATACAACAACCTCTTACTTATAGAATTTTTTTGAACAATTTTATGTATTATACAATGTTTTAGTTTTGTTACATATCCTGTCATATGTCTAATGCAGTTTATTTCACCAAGCTAGGGACTCTTTATTTCTCGGGTTGAATTTGAAGAACTGCTTTAAGAACTGTCCATTATCACCGTAGGGAACGTGTTACAGTATCGCCTTTTTCGGTTACAGTATAGAATTTTCAAGATGGAGGATTATTTATGGGAAGAGAGGTAGGTGATTTTTTTTCAGGTTCATACTACTAGTAGTGTAGTTTCTAAAAGATGTTTTGTGCTTTGCTTGTTAGGAACAGAATCCGGTATCTAGTCATATATTTCTTCAGACCCTGCACCGCAGATTTATCTCTATATTGTCACATAAATGTGCAGATTTGACGGTTTAAAAATTTGAATAAAGAGACCAACGCATTTTTCTCCCATTCCGACATTATTTAAACATGCCTAGATAAAGTAAATCTACAAAACGTTAGTCCTTTATGTTTAGAAACGTTTATAAAAGTAAATGACCAGTTGAACCTATTTTCCTGTTGGTAAAATGCGTTTGAAAAAATAAACAATGTTACAGTATAGAGTGAGGTTAATTTTAAAGGGTTACAGCATAGACCTAGCGACTTTGATCCAATTTTGTTACAGTTTATACCCAGATTTCTGTTACAGTTTAGATACTTGCCAAATTTCAAACAAAGTTCGTGTATTCATTATTTTTATGAAATAACTCATACCTTTCTATTTAATACATTCTTGAAGTCGTTGAACGTTTCCGACCTCCGATGTGGCCCTGCAAAACATTTCCAGTCATTTGGAATCGGTTCCACATCTTGGAGACAACGCTCTGGGATACCCCAAGGACATGGACAACGCGTTTTTTTGAAAGGCCAGCCTCCAACATTCCAATACCCCTGTTCATCTCATCTTAACTAAGACGACGTCTAACCTGTCGATTTTCTATAGTTTTTCATTTCGAACACAGTTGTACAACAAAATGAAAGACGTCTTGCTGCTTGTCTTTCCGTTTGTATGTTTTTCCACGTGCTTGTTTTGCAAGGTGTACTAATGTACACGGTTATGAGGTCCCCGTACATGTGTATCGTTAGTGAAAAGGATTTTAATATAATCATAATGGCACTGAAATATACAATGTCAAAAGGTGATCCTTTTTGAGTAATATATACAACTCAATAAATTCTTGTGTAAAAAAAGTTTAGTATGATCTTATGTAAAATAAACTGATCAGTAGAAAATGCAATGAGGTATCAACGGGGGGGGGGGGGGGGGGGGGGGGGGGAGTTTGGTAAAACATAACTCAAATATTTCAGCAATTTTAACTTGAATATCACAATAAACACCCTGAACATTTTATTGTACAACTACCCTTTACATTTTATTTCATTATGGCAAAGACATACTTTGTAAAATTTTATTTTAAAAAAGAAATGTCCTTAAAACTTATTTTAGAATGGCAAGAACTAGGTAACGAATAATTCAGAAAAGGAATGTCAAGATAACGACAGTCCAGATGTCATATTAATCTCATGTGTACTTAAACGTTAATGAATAAAATCGAACAAAAATCAGTAGTGTAACACCTCATGATAACACTAAATGGAGGACCTTTAACTTTTCCGTACATACTTATCAAGTCTCTAAAGCACCCAAGAAAATTGTAAAAATAATGTTAAATCGAAAATACTTATAATAAGTATTTTATACATTGAATACATGATAATATTGGTTTGATTTTGGAACATTTTCAACAAATGTAAAATTAAGGCACGCGTGGGTTTAAAAAGATATAGTTCCAATTATTTCACACAATGACCTTTCAGTTACAATTATCATATAAGACGATGTATTTAGATACAGATAATCAGTAATTAGAAAATCCATTAGTTTCGGTTGCATAATTTACTTAGTCCTATTTCAAAGATCATATTTATGAAGCGAACAAGCGATAAGAAAGGTTTAATATCAAAGGTAAGTTATAATTGTTTTGTCAAGACTTCAAGCTTCAAAGAGAATTATTTAATTTCCAATGTGATAATATCAAATATATCGTTATATATAGTTCTTCACGTTCTTACCTGCCTTACACTTAAATTCAAATAGAATTTACTTATTTCAAGTACTTGCGTTGTTTTAAATTATATAAATAACACTTGACTGTCGGGGTGATAGAGGATATTGTCAACCCGAGAACTGGTATATTTACCCGAGGCGCAGCCAAGGGGTAATATATGCCAGTTCAAGGGATTATCACCCCGACAGCCATGCGTTATTTATTTTATTATACCGAAAGACTTACAAATGCAATATTTATAAAGTACACAGGCTATGAAATAAATAGAATACACTTCATCATTTTTACAATTTAAACATAATTAATAAACGCTTAATCATAATCAATAATCATAATCAATAAACGCTTGATTTTGACTAAAAATAGAATGATTAGTCAAAAGGAATTAACTAGTACAATATTAGTAATATGGAGTTATGCAAGAGTAATGTGCCCCAGGGTGATATAAGAAATATTCACTGGGAAATATATCCTAGCAGGGTGATATTCAATCAGAACACATAATAGTCCTATGGGAGTTTTACATTGAAGGATATATTGAGATATAATTTATTAAAATATGACCTCAATTCTGCAGAATTTTGTCATCCATACCTAGCACTGCCCAGTAACAATACATGAATACCTAATGCTTATCGTTGAAAATAATATTTTATACTCAAAGCAGTATTTTATTTCAGACATCTAATGCGTGCGTTGATACAATGTAAGATAATTTATATGAATTGAATTTAATAAGTGTCAATAGCATTTGAAGATTTTGAAGCGAAAACGTTGTCACCTTGCGAACGGCAATATTTTTATTGTTCCCCAATCTACGTTTATTGGCTTGATATTTTTCATTTTTGTGTAAGCTTGCTTTTGAATTTATACATGAACAAATAATCTAATCAAAAGTGTGGCTATCAAATAAATTCACATGGACTATATTTAAATATTGAACTTTGTAGAAAAAAGCAAACCTTTCAGATCATTCGCAGACTCCGGTTTCCAGAATAATATTTTAAATGTGAAAAATGACCAACGCTGTTCTCTCAAATTGGGCTAATAACACAAATATACGATTGATTTTCAAGTAATTCTAATTATATTTCTTATTTTCTCTTCCACATCGTTCTGCTTATAATGTCCAAATTGATCTATGTAAGAATTTTTTATGTTATGTTTTTAGGCATCATGCCTCAGGGGAGCTTCTTCAAAGTACTTTAAGTATGATATTAAATACATTTAAATGATATTAGTCATACAACAATCATTACTACTAAAGCACTAGCAATAAATGGCCATATCATTCTGTTGTAAAATTTGAATATAGCAAAATTAGAGATATTATGTGTAATTTATAATGCATGTTTAATTATGAAGTGTGTTTCAAAAACAAACAAAAAAAAACGTGCATAGCCACTTTGAATTTAAATAACTAAACTGTAGTTTATACAAAAATATCTTCA